ATCGTGGTCGAAATGACCTCCCAAAATGACTGGAGCTTGGGCGCGTACGGCCCGATCGAGACCATGTCGGCGGCCTCAACCGACGTTGTTCCGCCGCTGCCGTACCTCTGGTTGGACATGAGCTTCCCGTTGGTGTGGTTCGGGCTCAGCGAGGGGTTGTACAGGGTTGACTTGCCGCACGTGTCGCAGACCGTGGAGAACACGGCCAGCTCGAAGGAACCCGTGTCGACTATTCCCGCGATTGTTTGGCCCCCCACCTCGAGGTACGCAACGTACTGGACATCGTTGTAGTTAGTCAAAACCTGCCAGGACTTGTCGCCGAGCCACGAGTTCTGCTCCGTTTGATGGTCACTGCCCCTGCGATCTAAAAGACTGAGAGCACCATGTGGCTCGCTTGGCACGGAGGCGTGCAGTGCCAGAGCTATGCTGGCGGCGGCCACCACCAACGCTGCTCGGGCGACCAGCATGGGAGACAAGGTACAACGAACGTGTTCTTCGAGCGAAAACGACCACGGAGAAAGCAGAGGAGCAGGATGAGCAAGAAAGACGTGGACCAGGACCAGGGGAGCACCAGGGAACAGGGAGGATGCCCGTCCTGCCGTCGGCTGCGCCGCTCCCGCGCGCGCGCGCCGCACAGCAGACCGCTGCGCCCCAGGCACCGGCAAGAAGCTGCGGCCCCACCGAATGACAGGGCACGCGCAGGCGCTGCGCTTGAGGCCTCCGCCCCCGCCCCCTGGCCCTGGCGCCCCTGCCGAGGGGCTCCCCGGCGCCTCTCTCCCTGGGGCTCTCCAAAGGGCCTGCGACGCTGCCAAGATTGCGGGCGACGGCCACCAAGGCCGCCGGGATTGCCCGGGAGGCCTCCCAGGAGGCCCAAGAGGGCCCCAAGACGTCCCGAGGTGGCCTCAGGACAACCCCAAAGGGGGTTCCCAAGACGGCCCAAAGTGGGCTTCAATCGTCGAGTTCCCTTGATGCTGTAATGTGTGTCGCGATCTCGTGTTTTCGGGCCTCCGTCAGCTCAAGACTGCCCAAGAAGCCCTCAAGAGGGCCTCAAGACGGCCAAGACTGCCCAAGGAGGCTCCAACGGCACCCGAGATCCCAAAGGCGACCCTGCAGGGCCGCCAGGAGCGCCTCCGGACGGCCCGGAGAAACCCCGGAGGCGGAATCCGAGGGCGCCAGGCTGCCCAAGAGCGCCCCCGAGTCGGCCCAGAGAGCCTCCAAGGGGCTCCGGAGGGCCCCCAAAAAACACCCCCAGGAGGCCTCCGAGACTCCCCCCGGGAGGCCCCCAAGGGGCCCCAAGAGAGGAGGGGAGGCGAGGAACAACGACGACGGCGGACACGAGGAGAGGCGCCCCGGCACGAAGCGGAAGAGCGCGTCTCGCGTGACAGCCCCTGCCAAGCCTGGGGGCACGAGGTGTCACACGCTGCGGGAGTTCCGTGCGCTCCCCGAACAAGTCGCCACGCAGAGCGCCGGGCCGGCACGGTGGAGGGACTTGCCGCGGACGGTTCGATGTCCCTGCGCTTCCCCAGCGGGAAGGGCACTACGTGCTCGTGCGCGTGGCACAGGTGCCCGCACAGGTGGCAGCAGGTGTGTACCCATCGTCCACCTGCACGTTGTCCGCATCGTTCTGTGGAGTGCCCAAGGCGACGAACACAACGAATGCCCCCCTAATTATCCTCACGAGCTTCCTGGGTGCATTTTTGATTGCGAAAGAGATACAAAACTAAAAAGGAGCCAACGCCAACAACAACAGCAACAACAACAACAACCATAACCACAACCACAACCACAACCACAACCACAACCACAACCACAACAACAACAACAACAACAACAACAACAACAACAACAACAACAACCACAACCACAACCACAACCACAACCACAACCACAACCATAATAATAGTAACAACAAGATGAACAACGGCAGCAACAACAACAACAACGCCAACAAAGATAACAAATAAACCAAACAAACCAAACACAAAAAAATAGAAAAACAAATAGTGTGCATATATATATATATATATGAAAAGAAAACGGGGGAGAAAACGCAGCAACAACAAGAGCGGCGACACCAGTAGCAACAGCAACAAAAACACCAACAACAACAGCAAGAACAACAGCAGCAACAACCACAACAACAACCTCAGCAACACCAACAGCAACAGCAGCAACAACCATAACACCAAGTGTAAGACTGTTCGCTCTTATCTACTCGCGTGCCCTCCAACACGTATATCCCGAACCCTTGAGACCCGCCCAGTTCGTCTTCGATCGTACCCCTTGGGGGTAAATCTTTCTTACCTGCAACGTATTTCGTGCAGCCCCTAAGGAAGGGGAAGAGAGGACGGATGGAAGGAAGAGACAAAGGAGAGGGAGGAGGATGGAGTTCGAGAGAGAGTAGCAGGAGGGGGGCTAGTAGTAGAAAATATCTGGCAGAACCAGACGGGCAGATCGGGGTGGGTAGACCCTAACAGGCGGGTCGGGAAGGCGGGCCCAGGCGTTCAGGTAGAGCAGGCGGGTTGCGAAGGATGGTGATGAAGATGAAGATGACGATGATGAAGATGATGAAGATGATGAAGATGATGAAGATGATGATGATGATGATGATGATGATGAAAATGAAGATGATGATGATGATGATGATGATGATGATGATGATGATGATGATGATGCTGATGATGATGCTGATGCTGTTGGTGGTGGTGATTGATGCTGACAACGACGACGATGAAGATGCTTGATGGTGAAGAGAATGATGGTGATGATGCTGATGATGCTGATGATGCTGACGATGATGATGATGATGATGGTGATGGTGATGGTGATGGTGATGGTGATGGTGATAGTGATGGTGATGGTGATGATGATGATGATGATGATGATGATGATGCTGATGCTGATGCTGATGCTGATGCTAATGCTAATGCTAATGCTAATGCTAATGCTGATGCTGATGCTGATGCTGATGCTGATGCTGATGCTGATGCTAATGCTGATGCTGATGCTGATGCTGATGCTGATGATGATGATGATGATGATGATGATGATGATGATGATGATGATGATGATGATGATGATGATCACGATGGAGCCGTCAGGCCATGACACTTCTTTCCAATTCACATCGGCCACGGGGTGCGATTCTATACACCGGGTGGCAGTTCCAGGCGATGAGGCCCTCGGGAAAACGATCGCTGTGGTGGCGTGAGCACAGAAGGCCCTCCTTCCCACCCCATGCTTGCAAAATGGAGGGCCCGCCGGACCTCGCGGAAGGATTATGTGATTATGCCGATCGTTGTTCTGCGATGCTTCCTGGCAGCGCAGACAGTCCGACGCTGCGCGAAAATGGGGCCTGCTGGCGGCGCGCTCGTCCCTGCACGCCCGCGCCGGGCCCACCGCTGCGCCCCACGCGGCGCGAGCCGGCCGCGAGGGCCGCCGCTCGCGCCGCCCCGCCTCGGCGCGCACCCGGGGTGCTCGCGGCAGCCTGAACGGGGCTGGGTCCGAGCGGATGGCGCGACGCGGCGCGGATGTGGGCGAGCGAGGAACCGTAGAGAGTCCTTCTGAAGGTCCTCGCGGGCGGGCCGGCGCGGCGGCGGACCCGCGGCGCCGGCGGCGGCGCCCGCTCGCGGCAGCCGCGCGGAGGACGAACGCCGGCGGCGGCGTGGCGGCGGAGGCTCTTCTGCGGAGGGAGGGCGTGGTTGGCGCTCTGCTCCGCGAGGCACGATGGGGGATGGGACACTCGCAGGCACCAGAGGAGCGGCTGTGGATGAGCGAGGAGCCAGGAGGGCGAGCGGCCTTGTCGTGGCTGTCATGGGGCACTGCGCGGACCCCTCCAAAAAGTCGGTGGCACGGCGCGGCCCAGCCTTCAGCCAGCGCCCGCGCTTGGCCCGTGTGGCAGGGCGTGCCCGTGCGCCACGCAGGAGTCGGACGCGATGCCAGGACGACGACGACAACGACGACGACGACGACGACGACGACGAGGAGTGCAGAGTAATTGTTCCTCGGCGGGAGATCGGCCTGCGTCGACGACGACGACGACGACGACGACGAGGACAACGACGACGCGTGCAGAGTAATTGTCCCTCGGCTGGAGATCGGCCTGCGGGGATGCGGTGCAGAATCGAATACGAACCCAGGACGACAACTACAACGACGAGGACGACACCGACGACGACGACGACGACAACGACGAGAAGAGAAGGAGGAGGAGGAGGAGGTGCACCAAGTCATTATCCCCCAGGGTTGGGCCCGCGTGGGAGCCGTGCTGAATCGAACACGACTCTGGGACCAAGACAACGACGACGACGACGACGACGACGCGACGACAAGGACGACGACGACGACGACGACGACGACGACGACGACGACGACGACGGCGACGACGACGACGACGAAGGCGACGACGACGAGACGACGACGACAACGACGACGACGACGACGACGACGACGACGACGACGACGACGACGGCGGCGCCGACGCCGACGCCGACGCCGACGCCCACGCCGACGCCGGCGCCGAAACCGACTCCGACGCCAACGCCGACACGGCGCCGGCGTCGGAGACGACAACGAAGAAGAGAAGGACGAGGACGAGGACGAGGAGATGACTGCGAGGACGATGCCGAGGACAAGGCGGAAGCGGAGTGCTAAAAAATTCTGCCCCAGGGGGCGGCGGCCTGCCCGTCTCCCCCCTCCTTTTCCTCCTCCGCCTCCTCTCATTCATCATCATAGTCGTTGCGTGATTATCGTCATGATCGCAATCATCATCATCATCATCATCATCATCATCATCATCATCATCATCAACATCATCATCATCATCATCAGCAGCAGCAGCATCGTCGTCGCCATCATCAGCCTGACCATCATCAGCATCATCAGCATCATCACCGTCATCACCATCATCATCACCGTCAGAAGTATAATCGCAGTCGGCATCGTCATCGGCATCGCCACCATCATCACCATCATGAATGTCATCGTCGTAGTCATCAGCACCCCGTCCTGCCTTCCGCCTCATCCCTCCTCGCGCCACCCGACCAGACACTCCATCTCCCCCGGCTCCAGCTCGTTCTCGTGCAGGAACGTCTCCTTCCGGGCCAGCCCCAGGACGCGGAGACAGGAAGAACAAAGGAGGTGTACGAGGTCCCCGAAAGGGATCCGAGAGGCCAACGGGAACCCTTCTCAATGCGCCACACAAAAGCGGAAGCACGGCAAAAATTGTTACGCCGGCGGGCGCAAGCGTGCCGAAGCGGGTGCAGGCGCCCGTCGGGCTACGGGCGGGACGCGCAGGAAGCAACACACAACCAAGACACACAAAATGGCAACAACAAAAGCGTCAGATCTGCACCGGCACCCCACCGGCACCCCACCGGAAAGGCCTCCAAAGGGTGCCCAGTGCTAGCCCGGCGAGCCGGCCCCCGAGACCCGTCTCGAGGGCTCCAGGCGGGCCGGCCCCACCTCGACCCAGGGCGGCTTCGAGGCGGCCCGACGCCTGGCATGCAGAGGCCCGAGGAGGCAGAGCACGCCAGCTGCAGGGCTCTCCGCGGCGCCCCCGGTCCGCAAGCCTCCGTTCGGCTGGAGGACTCCAGGCAGTCCCGCGGCAGGCAGCCAGGAGGGGCCCGTGCGGACCCTCCAGGGCACCCGGCAGATAGGCCTCGGAAGAGCAGGGGGAGAGAGAGTGCGCCGACCCGCGCCTCCCATGGGGGGTGAGAAGGCGTGTGGGTTGTTTGGCCGTCCCCCCTCCCTTCCCCTGGTCCGGGTGGGGGCGGCCCCACGTGCTCGAGGCCCTTCACGGTCACCCGAGGGGCTATCCAGATCGCTCGCGGAGCCGTAACTCTCACAAGAGCTCCCAGATGGACCCCAGACGGCGCCGCCCAAGGAACCTCCATGCTGGCCCCCGTGTGGCCCCGAGGAGCACATGCGAGGGGCAAAGATGGCCGCGCGGAGAGACCCCCAAAGACTTTTTTGGTCTGCGGGTCGGGAGCGGGCCCCTTCCGGTCAAGGGCTAAACGGGGCGCGGGTAGCCCTAATTGGGGAGACAGGGCGCGGGCGGGCGGCGCCTCAGGCGGCCGGAGGGCTCAGAGTACAGGCGGTGCCGAAGATCTTGCTCAGGACAAGGTACGCCATGGACTGGAACTGACCCCCAAAGACACAAGCCGACAGAATCCACAAATTGCTGTATGTTTGTTTACACTCCACACTTTTAGGCTTAGGTCGGGCCTATCCCCCTACAGGGGGATTTTGGACGAAAGACAAAAACTGACAAAATACATTCAACAAAATACCCAAAAATACTCGAAACAACGTCCCCTGCCTATTTCTTACTATTTTCGAATATTCCCCCTGAAGAGGGACAGGCCCGACTTAATGTTAGGCCCAGAGGCCCCACGACGGACTTCAGCAGCCTCCGAGAGGATCCTCAGGCACCCGAGCATATGACAGCCCAAGATGTCCCCAGAGCCCCCCCAGCTGGCCTACAACATGCTTCCGATCTGGCCCAAGACGCGGAGGCCTCCCAAGGGACGCCAATCAGCATCGAAATGCCTCGAACAATAAGCCCCAGCAGAGCCCCCCAAAAAAATATAGAACCTCCAAACAGCCCTGGCATAGACTCAAGCGCCTCTCAACATCGGCCAATTCGGTATGTTTCTCCTCCTACCGCCAACTCGCTCTTCAACAAAAAAATCCCTCCGTCGTGGATCACAGAAGATCCTGGAAGGCCTCCAAACGACCATCAGGTTCCTACGGGCGATTCGCAGAACAAGGCACCTCCTACGGGTCACATGTATGTATGATTAGTGAACCCGCAAGCGGGTCATACATTGCACGCATGCTCGCAATTGAGATTGTTTGATATTGCTAAACAGTGCGTGATAACTGCCACATCCAACTGACTGCTATCGACTGGTAGTACTTTCAATTGCTGACTTGGTGGTGATCAATTGCGTTGCTGGCTGCCCTTCGGTGCATTGCTTGCTATTGCCTGCTATTGTCGGCAATCGCCTGCTGGCGCTTGGTGCTGATTGCTACGGCTTACCGTATACTGCTTGCTATCGGCTGAACATGGATTGATTCCTGATCGGGCCTCGCGAAGCGACATGCAAAGGCGTCTGACACCAAGCGGCACGGGTGCCGTCGGAGAGCGTCACCATGACATTGTCATGAACATTGCGTATGAAAAAGCTGGCTACGAAATTTTACGCGAAACTGGTAAGAGCAGTAGCCGTGAAAGAAGCTGCATTGAAGTGCGCAAACAAGGACATGCATCTGAAGGGCACGGGCAAAACAGCGGCAAATGGTTATGGTGGTCCTCTAGCTAACTGCATAAACAAGTGTTTCCCCCGAGAACTCTGGAACGCCTACCTCTCTGCCTACACGGTCAGGGAAAAACCTCAGGAGCAACACGCGTTGTACGATTGTGGGGGGCGAAGCCTTAGCAAGAGAACAAGAGGGACACACAAATATAGAAAGAACTAGAGAGACATAGAGAGAGAGAGAGAGAGAAAAAGAAAGAAACATCGGATGCGGGTCCATGATGCCGCTGACGATCTGGGAGGCTTGGCTGTCGAGACTGGACGCGCTGTCGCTGTCACTCGGGGCGCTGACCTGGGCGCAGGGACAGCAGGAAGAGCACGCGTCGATGCGCACGGCTCGCGCGGAGCGGCTGGGGATGACGAGGAAGAGCAGGAGCAGGAGAAGGCTCGGCAAGCTCTCTTGCGCCGCAGCGCGGCAGAAGCTATATCCGCGCGCGCGCCCGAGCGACGCCCGGGGCGCGGAGCCACGAAGGAGCCCGCGTGCAAGAGAGGGGGGGGGTAGGGGTCCAGATGCGAACCCTACCCCTACCCCCCACGATTTCTGAGGGGGAGGGTGGGGTTCACTTCGTTCGGGAGGTCACGAGCGAAGTGAACCCCACCCTCCCCATCAGAAATCGTGGGGGGAGAGGTAGGGTTCGCACGTGGCCCCCTAACGAAGGAGCCCGCGTGCAAGAGAGAGAGGTGGGGGGGGAGAGGAGGGCGGCCGCAAGGGGGAGAGGGAGCGCATGCATGAGGGCTGCGGCAGGGGCAGGGGGCGCGGCCCGGCCGCGGCCCCAGCTGGCAGCGGCTGCCCGGGCGGCGTCGCAGCGCGCCTGGGGTGGGAGGCAAGCAGCCTCGGTGCGGGCGTGACCCGGCAAGTGTTAGGTCGGGCGCGTCCTCCTCGAGACGGATGTTGGCCGAAAAGTTCCAACATAGCCCCCAAAAAAATACCCCCAGAAATGCTCACATGAGTACTCGAAAAGTCCTCCCCAGACTATTCTAGGACTGCTTTTCAGTGTTCCCCCTGTGGACGGACATGCCCGACTTCAGGAGGATAAGAAGCGGGAGGCGGCGGCGGCTGGAAGCCAGGTGGCCAGCGGAGGAGGGAGGAATGGGAGCTGGCTGCGCGGCCAGCCGGCGCTGAAGCAGCTGCGAGAGGCCCAAAGTGGTGGAGGGTGCGGCGGCCCCGCAGGGAGGGGGGCCATCGAACTCCGGACGCGGGACGAAGCGGGCGCAGGGGCGGAGGAGGAGGAGCGCCACTCACTAGCCAGTGCACGGCATCATGGCGGGAAATGCGCGACGCCCAGTGCAACTGGCGCCCGGGCGGAGCCCTCGGAGCGGGAAAGCTCGGCAAGCAAACAAAGAGCACACATTAGCTAAATACCTCCCGCTTTCGCGCTTGATCATCACCGCGATCACCACTGGCACCAACATCAACGACATCATCACCAGCAGCAGCGGCATCACCACCATCATCATCATCATCATCATCATCATCATCATCATCATCATCATCATCCTCATCATCATCATCATCGTCATGATCATCATCATCAGCAGCAGCAGCATCATCAGTATCACCATCAGCATCATCATTATCATAATCATCATCATCATCATCATCATCATCATCATCATCATCATCATCATCAGCAGCAGCATCATCATCATCAGATCATCATCGTGTTCGTCATCATCATCATCAGCATCATCATCATGACCATCATCATCATCATCACCATCGTCGTCATCGTCATCGTCGTCGTCGTTATCGTAATCATCGTCGTCATCGCCGTCTTCACCAGCAAGCATCCTGAGTACACGTCATCATACGAGCAATCATAGAAGTCCGTTCCGAACATCCGTTTCTACAACCCCCCCTTCTTCGTCACCATTACCATCATCATCCCCATCAGCATGAGCATCATGACAACCGTCATAACCACCTCAACCATCATCATTACAATCAGCATCATCAGCATCATCAGCAGTAGCAGCAGCATCATCAGCATCATCACCACCACCACCACCATCACTATTATCAGCATCATCATCATCATCATCATCATCATCATCAGCAGCAGCAGCATCACCATCATCATCATCATCATCATCATCAGCATCATCATCAGCATCATCACCATCATCATCACCATCATCATCATAAGCATCATCACCATCGTCATCATCATCATCACCAGCAGCAGCACCATCATCCATCATCATCACAGTCATCATCGTCATCGTCAGCGTTACCATCCTCATTATCATCATGATGATCATGATCATCAGCAACAGCAGCATCATCAGCACCATCACCATCATGATCATCATCAGCAGCATCATCATCGTCAGCGTCATCATAATCGTGATCATCAGCATCAGCAGCAGTAGCATCATCATAATCGACATTATCATCATCATCATCATCATCATCATCATCATCATGACCATCAGCATCAACATCGTCATCATAAGCATCATCATTACATTGTCATCATCAGCAGCAGCATCACCATCAGCAGCAGCAGCATCACCATCATCGTCATCATCAGCATCAGCATCATCATCGTCGTCATCATCAGCATCGTCATCATCGTCGTCATCGTCATCATCGACAGCATCGTCATCATCGTCCTCATCGTCATCACGTCAGCATCGTCCTCATCGTCATCACCGTCATCACCGTCATCATCATCATTATCATCATCATCATCATCATCATCATCATCATCATCATCATCATCGTCGTCATGATCTTCATTATCATCATCATCATCATCATCATCATCATCATCGTCATTATCATAGATATCATCAGTATCATCATCATCATAATCATCATCATCATCATCATCATCATCATCATCATCGCATTCAGCATCGTCATGATCATCATCAGTGTCAGCATCAGCAGCATACGTGGCATCATGATCATCATAATCAGCATCGTCAGCATCGCCGTCATCATCATCTCCATCATCATCATCATCAGCAGCATCATCATCCTAATCAGCATCACCATCAGCAGCATCATCATTATCATCATAGCATCCCAATCATCATCATCAGCATCAGCAGCAGCATCATCATCAGCATCAGCATCATCAGCATCGTCATCATCATCCTCATCATCATCAGCAGCAGCATCAGCATCAGCATCGGCATCATCATCACATCATCAGCAGCAGCATCATTATGCTCCGCCTCCTCCTCCTTCTCCTCCTCCTCCTTCAGCTCCTCTCCTGTCTCATCCTCCTCATCCTCATCATCATCATCCTCCTGCTCATCCTGCTCCTCATCCTCCTCCTACTCCTTCTCCTCCTTCTTCTCCTCCTCCCCCGCATCCTCCTCCTTGCGCGGGGGACAACAATGTCCTAAGCACCCTGGGGACAACGTGGCCTGGGGAGGAGCAGCCAGCAGCGGTCAACAAGTGCTGAACCGTGCCGCGTCGCGTCTCTTCTGTGCCGACAGGCTTAACGTGTAGTGCCCCCGTCGGCTCCTATAGCCACGCACACGTAAAAGCACGAGAGGCATCACCCAGGGCGACCTCGCTCATCCTGGCGGATACTGGAGTCTACCCAGCCCTCCCAGGAGTCTGCTCCGGTTCCTGGATCTCTCAGACCGGCCTACTGTGAACAGCAACTGGTCCTGGCCAAGCCCATCTGGTGCCCAAGATTGGCCTGGCCAACATCGATGTCGGTGAATGCCCGCCGTCCCACGACCTGGGTCTACCGATTTCGCGCTTCGCGCTGCGCACACTTCGCGTGGTTACCTTCGCACTCTTGCGCCGCCCAGCGACACGCCCCCCTGCGACTGCACTGAAGGCTAGCTCGTGAGCGTGGATGCTGCGCTCGACCCCAGGCTGGCCAGGCTTCGCGTGGGCGGCGTACCTGTGGAGCGCATCAAGGTCGGCCAGGTCGTGGCAATCCAGGCCAACCTGCAACAGGCCCGGCCCGCTTCCTGAGCGCTCAGGCACTGAGCTGCGGGGAATGGCGCGTCTGCTGCGGAGCGAGCTCTGCTGCGGAGCGAGCGCGAGCCGGCCCCCGTGGCAAAAAACGACTTCGCTCGGCGCTCGAGCTTCCAGCGCAGGCAGCCCCAGCCGCGACGTGGACGGCCGTCGGGCCCGCAGCCTTCCGTCATAGGCCGAGGCGCCCCGGGCACAGCAGCTTCCAATGGCGCGACGAGTCAGGGAGCGCGTGGCGGCGGCCCCGGTCTGGATGAACCAGTGCGCCTTCGGCGAGGCTTAATGTCGGCGGTGGACAAGCCTCCCTTTAGTAGACCTCCCCTTAGTGAAAAGGGCCTGGGACCGAAACCGACGGACCTGGACCCGCAAAAATGACGGCCGCGACGCCCTCTCGCGAACCGAAAACGGCCAATTCCTTAATCGACGTGTCAGGGTAGGAGGTCTGTCCACCCCCGATAATGGGGGGTCATAAGTGGGGGGTTCAGAAACGGTCTCCTTTCGTGCCCACTTCGGGCCCCTCCGGAGCCCCAGGGGGCTTGTTTGGGCAGCGTTTGGGTACCTCTTCGGACCACCCTCGCCACCCCCCACATTTATGACCCCCCATTGCACAACGCCCGGGTGCGCCTTCGGCGAGGAGGCCTGGAAGGCCATGCGCTTCCCAAAGGTGGATCTCCAGGAGCTCGGCGACTTGGCAAAAGCGCGTACATGGACAGTGGCCGCTTCTTCAGGCTGGGTCGCCCTGGCGGGCCTCTGCCACCCAGAGGTGATCGGCCAGGCCGCCGACGGATCTTTCCGCACCCCAAGGAAAGAAGAGGTCAAGTCAAGTCTGACTACCTACCAGACCACCCCAACCCAACCCGAAGACCCGAATTTCGGGTTGGGGGGGTATGGGTTCCATACGTGTTTTTGTCGATGTTCCCCGACCCCCCACACTGGAAATGGAGGGCAAATTGTGGCCTTCGGGTTGGGCTGGGATGGTTTGGTAGGTGGTGAAAGTCAAGTCTGGTCGAGGGGCCCATGGAGGCACCTCGCTCCGCAAGTGGAGCTGGAGGGCGTGAGACACTGCGGCAGCAAAATGCGCACGCAGGAGAAAAGGAATGGGAAGGGCTCTGTTAGATTAAACTCTGGACGCGGCAGGAAGAAGGGAGGGGGGGAGAGCGGAGGGCCGGAGGAGACGGCGAGGGAGACGGGGACGGGAGCGAGGGGAGAAGAGAGGAGGGAGGCAAAGAGGGGAGGAGGCCCTGGGGAGGGGCAAAGGCGAGGGGTGAGGGGGCAAGGGCGAGAGGGAGAGCGCGGGAGGGAGGGGAGATAGGGCGAGCCAGAGAAAGAGACAAGGACAAAGAGACAGAGGCTCTCCTTCCGCGGCAACACATCAAACGTTAGACGCTTGAGGTGATCCAGGAAGGCGGCAGTGCCACGGACACGGTACACGGATATGGGGCTTCGTGCAGCAAGACAAAGGGGCAGAGGTGGGGGGGCCGACTGCGAAGGGGGAGAGGCAGGGGGGAGGGGAAGAGGCAGGAAAAAGATCTCCGAAGCGCGAGGGAGGCTGCGCCGGCGGCAGACGCCACGGCGCGGTCCCGAAGCCCTCGCCTCCGAGTTGGAGTCGTCCGCGGTGAAGGTGCTCTCCATGCTCGAGATCTCAGTGAGCCGCCGCGCCTCCGGACAACGGTGCCGACGACGCCTCTGACGACGACGCCTCTGACGACGACGACGACGACGACGACGACGACGACGACGACGACGACGACGACGACTGGTGGCCGCCGATAGCCGCCGCGGGCCGCCAGCGCCGTCGTCGCTGGCGGGGGGCAGCGCTCGGGGGACATCAGTAGAGAGCGTCGCAGAATGGGGCTGGCGCACAAGGAAACAAAACAGAGATCCCTGGAAGCTCGAGGGGGGGATCGCCTTCCTCTCCTGGTCCTGCGCCCTCGTTCATTCCTTCGTCCTCGTCCTCCTCCTCCACCTGGTCCTCCACCCATCAAATTCATTCCGTCCCCCTCCTTCCTTCCTTTAACTCCTCCGCCTTGTCCTACTCCTCCTCTTCCCCCTCCTCCTCCTCCTCCTCCAACTCCTCCTCCTGCTCCTCCTCCTCATCCTCCTTCTCCTCCTCCTCCTCCTCTTCCTCCTCCTCCTCCTCCTCCTGCTCCCCCTTCTTCATCTCCGCCTCCTCCTCCGCCTCCTCCTCATCATCCTCCTCCTCCTCCGACGCCTCCTCCTCCACCTCCTCCTGCTCCCTCTGGGATGACGAGCAGGCCTCGGAGAGCCAGGCCGACCGAAGCGGAGTGGGCCCACGTGCGACGCAGCGGTCGGTGCGGGTGGGGAGGACGCCCAGCATCAGCACGGAGTGCCACGCGGTGGCGGCTAAGTGACGACGGAGCGCTGCGGGGTGACGGCGGAATATCACGGCGGAGAGCGGTGGAGTGCCAGCAGCAGCGCGAAGTGCCACGGAGTGGCGCCGTGCCCAAACGCCGAACGTCCTTCTCTTGAGAGGTCACGCCGAGCTCTAAACGGCGAGGCCTGACGTGACGCCCGTGTGGCCACCAGTCATCGGACTTCATCGAGTAACCCCTGCAGGGCTGACAGGCACGAAGCGTCTGAATCGGCCGTTGTCGTGAGCAAGTGCAGCGCGAAGAAGCATGATACTTGACGGCCGCAGTGCCACATGGAAGCTCTTCGAAGCCGCTCGCGGAGCCCTTTTCGACCCTCTGGAAACACCCTAGAGGCCGCGCTTGGTGTTTCCCGAAATAATTCAAACGTGCCGTGGAAGCAGCCCAAAGGCACTTGAAATCCCTGGAGACCCTTTTGTCTCTAGAGATCGCTGGGGGTCCTTGGAACCAACTCTGGAGGCCATTGAAAGGCGCCTGGGGACCCATTGAGGGTGGACAGCGTCAGGCCACGAGTCAACCCAAATCAAATCGATCGATTCCGTGTGTAGAAACATCGATGCGCACAGCCAGGTATATTTCCTACGTAACGACGAACTAACCAACAAGAGCGGATCACAGAACCACGGTGACCAACCCTGCCGCCGATTGCAGCCGACGTCCGACCAACCCCGCCGCACCCCCAGCCAATCCCCCAGACCAATTCCCCAGGCCACGCTGTGCAGGCTATTTCCGTCCCGGACCGAGCTGACCCCTCGCTGGAGGCGCTCACGATCCGAGGGGGCACGTCTTCTTCTCTTTGCGCTCGGGAGGCTCTGCCAGGGCAGGAGCCTAGGGGTCATCCACCGCTTCCCCTCCTCCCCCCTCCTGCTTGGAGGCGTTGGGAGGGCTGGTGCGCCTGAACGGCTCAGAAAACGTGGCCGGGTGCCACGGGTGCCGCTGGTGCCGGGCACCCTGCCTGGCGCCTCCGCCCCGCCGCATCCCCGCCCCCCCCTGCACACAACTGCACCATCTGGATGCTACTCTCCTCTGCACCAACGATACGCCTCCGCGATTTCTCGCACGAGGACGGTGCCGAGTAGACTTGTCCTCCATGTGTCACGTCACTCTGAGCGTTCTCGGCCCTTCGGGCATGGTGCTGCCGCTGCAGCGCGGGCCTCACTTCAGGATCAGGGCCTCGCTCCCGTCGTTGGGCATGGCGCTCTCGCCCGAGCACGGGCCACTTTTCTGGATCCGAGTCCTCCTCCTCGTTGCCGCTTCCCCCCTGGACCCTCCGACCCTCCCCCGCCTTCCCCTGGTCCTCCTGCTTGTCCCGCTCCTTCCAATCCGGTTCCTGCTGCTGCTGTTTGTCCTCGTCCTCCTCCTGCTCATCCGCCACCTCCTCCTCCTCCCCCTCATCCTGCTCCTCCTGTGTGCGCAGCGCCTCTTTTCCGCTCGGGCATAATAAGATAGATACTCTTCGGAGTTCCAGGTCAGCTATGATACGCGTCCGCGGAGTGAGAAAACAACAGCGCAATGGGATGGGATGGGTGGGATGGGTACGATGTCAAGTATGGCGCGAGCGCACCTAGCTTGCCGCTCTTCCCCTCTCCTCCCCCTCTCCCTTCCCGACCCCTCTCGCCCCTCTCCCCCACTTCCTCGCCCTTCCTCCTCGATCTCTGGTAGACGATCCCCTGACTGCAGACTCTGCGACTCCTTGGAACGTGCAGGCGTGCTGCTACATCCTCCCAGTCGAGGAGGAGGCTCCCGCTCAAGCTCCTGGCGACCAACCCGGGAGACAGGCTGCCGCTGCCGATACGTCCATCATCGTCAGTGTCTTGCGTGCGAGCTGCAAGCTGCGCGTGCCACTTGAGCGACGCAGGAACACGGGGTCGTCTGCGCCGACATTGGCGCGTGCGGTCGCGCGTCGGCGCCTTCGTCTTCAATGTGGCGTGCCGCGCGGGCGGCCCGCGCAAGCCGCCGCGTAAGGTCGCCACGTCATCTCGCGCAAGACCCGTTCTTGACCGTCGCCCACTTGTCAACCAAAGTGAGAGAGCCTGTGCTTAGCTCGGACATGCCCCCCCCACATGAGGGTTTGGGAGGAAAAATCAAAAATCATCCCAACAAATATTCAAAAGTAGTCAAAAATAGTCGAAAATCGTCCCCAGACTATCTTTCTATTATTTTTGCAGATTCCCCCTGTAGAGGGACAGGCCCGACTTAAGCCTACGCTCCAACCCGCCCCGTGCCTGCGTGGCCGAGGCCTTCCGCTGAGGCTCCGAGCGCCTTCCGCCAGACGACAGCGCGGCCGAGCCTGCGGCCCTCGCCGTCCCCGCGCCCACTCCGAAGCGGCCAAGAGGGGGGCGTCCTGGAGGGGGTGGCACAGATCATGGCCAAGAGGGGGGCGTCCAAGAGGGGGTGGCCAGGGGCTCCTTCAGCAGCACCCAAGCTTAGGGAGACATGAGGCCCGATCAGGCCGGAATAGAACGGGGGATACAGCCGAACTGAGCGGGATGGGGCCAGACCAGACAAGAGTAAGCGGGATCGAAGCGGATTCGGTTGTCGGGGGCGTCCAAGCGGGGGGACGTCCAAGGGGGGGTGGCACAGATCATGGCTGGCGGCACATGCGCGGCCCAGGGGGGCGGCCAGGGACGCAATGAAATAAGAAGAGGTGCCATGATATCTGGGGAGATATCATGCCCCCCACCATGATATCCACATACTCCTGGTCATCACCCCCCTCTTGGCCTTAGGTCGGGCGTGTCCTCCTACAGGCGGATTTTGGACGACAAATCAAAGATACCCAAAAGAAGGCAAAAAAAAAAAAAAAAAAAAAAAAAATTGTGTGTATACTATGTTTCCCCAATCAGTGCTTGCACTGAAGGGGTCCTAGCGGAGGTTGAAGGATTTGGCGAAAGTATCCCGCCGATTTTGGTCGCACGCTGCGTTCCCCGGTTCCCGGTTCCTGGTTCCCGGGTTCCCGGTTCCTGGGCCGATTTCGGTGGGCGGCGAGGTTCCCAGGTTCCCGGGTTCCTGGTCTATCTCATCGATCGGTCTCAGCATCGATCTCGTTTCCCACCTCTCTATCGATCTCACCATCGATCTCACAGTCGATCTCACAATCGATCTCGCAAGCGAACTCACTGGAGATCGCACGAGCGACCTCGCGATACGTCTCCTTATCAATCTCATTGAATCGACTTCACTCTCGGTCTCACGATCGATCTTACAATCGTCCTCTATCGATTCCACTATCGATCTCATCATCGATCTCACAATCGATCTCAATATCCATCTGACTAATTTCCAAATCATCCACTCCTTGGGGTGTTCTCAGGCGTAAGTTTACTATCTTCGAATACTCCTCCTGTAGAGGGACAGGCCCGACTCAATCTCGGCCGCCCCCGACTCACCATCCCCGCACCCACAGCTCCCGGGGCCGCGGCGCTGGGGCTGGGACGGCCGCCTCGACCAGCGCGCGCCCTCGGACCGCCCGCCTTTTTGCGAGGAGGGGCACATCCCGTGCCTCGCTGGCAGTGCCAGGGGCCCGACCACGAGAGGCCTCCCACGAGAAGCACCAGCCCCGAGGCCCCGGGACGTCCCTGGATTTTGTTGGTGCTGGAACGCCACGCGCTCCGTCGCAGCACCCACTCGAAGCCCAGGAAACCCGAGGCACCCTGGAGGCAAGCAGGGCGTTTCTTGGCATGGGTCCTCCTCCTCGCTCCTCCTCCTCCTCCTCCTCCTCCTCCTCCTCCTCCTCCTCCTCCTCCTCCTCCTCCTCCTCCTCCTCCTCCTCCTCCTCCTCCTCCTCCTCCTCCTCCTCTCCTCCTCCTCCTCCTCCTCCTCCTCCTCCTCCTCCTCCTCCTCCTCCTCCTCTCCTCCTCCTTCTCCTCCTCCTCCTCCTCCTCCTCCTCCTCCTCCTCCTCCTCCTCCTCCTCCTCCTCCTCCTCCTCCCCCCGAGTGCTGACGGCCCCCTCGCGCCCCGGCCGCCCAGCCGGGTCCGGAAGGCGGCGGGCCGGCCCGCGGGCGCGGAGCCTGCGCGCAGGACGGGCGCCACGCCCGGGGAGCGGGCCGACCCGCGGCCGGCCCACGCAGAGCGCAGCGCAGGGGCCTCGGGTCCGCTGCGCAGGCGGCGCCCCCTGCTCCCCGTGCTCCTCGCCAGCGGTGCTCGGGGCTCCCCTCGGGGCGGGGGCTGCATCACTCGCCGGCCCCTTGGCCGAGGGCGATGGGCCTGGCCCCTGGCCACACTGGGCGATCGCCCCAGGAGGCGCCTGCCCACCGTGCCCGCCAGAACGCGCGTGCGGGGGGCCCGCTGCGCGGTGTGTTGCGGGTCCTGCGGTGTCCGCTTCTCGCGACGCCGAGCGGACGTGGAGGCCGAGGCGGACAGTGCCTCTGGGGCGACAGGGGCCCACAGGGAAGCGAGGGGGGAGCGCGGGGGCGGGGGGGGGGTTCGAGGTAACCCCACCTACATCCCACGCGAGGACGGGGGCGCTGACACCTCTGGCGACTGAAACGATACGCAATCACGATTTCTCCGCCACGCGCACTGCGAGGCCCGTTGCTCGATTGCCGCTGCCGCCTTCGCCTTCGGGCCACCCGTGATGCCCGGGCCCAGTCTTGTACTGGGACATCTGCGGGTGGGGGTATTGTACCCCGTGGGAAAGTGACGCAACCGAGGATGGCGAGTACTGAAGAGAAACTGGAACGTTCACGCAGGGTAATCCGGGTTCCACCCAGTGACCCCGCATCTTGGCGCGGCGAGCGCTAGTACCCTGACAAGCTCCGCGGACAGAAGATCATTAGGAGGGTCCGAGCGGCGCCTTGGAATGCCAACAAACAGGCAGGCGAGAGCCGCCAATGCGGCCAATCACGAGAGACGAAACCCGCCAATGCTGGGCCTCGTGGGAACATATCGAAAACTGATAAGAGCCTAAATCAAGCTAGCGAAATCGAAAGGTGGTCCATCCCTTTCCCTCGCCACCCCCACCGCCCCCGTGCGATCATGCGGCTCCGAACGCCGACTGGCCTTACTTGCGATTCTCGTCCATGAAAGACTTCATGAAGTCCCCGAGCTTCTCGACGCCCTCGAGGGGCATGCCGTTGTAGAGCGATGCCCGGCAACCGCCCACCGAGCGGTGCCCAGCCAGCGTGAACAGGTTTACCTTCTTGGCATCGTCCAAAAACTTCTTCTCCATGGCCTCGTCGCCGCCCGCGATTGTGAAGGGCACGTTCATGCGGGACCGGCTGCTCTTCTCCACGGGGCAATTGTAGAAGCCGTCGGAGCCGTCGATGATGCCGTAGATGAGGCCGGCCTTCTTGTCAGACTGCTCGGCCCAGTGCTGCACGCCACCAACCTTCTTGGTGTACTTGAGGTACTCACCGATGACATACCACGTAAAGCTTGCTGGAGTGTTGTACATAGAACCATTATCCGCCATGGTCTTAAAACTGCAGTAAGTGGGGCAAATCTTCAACTCGCTTGAGCCGTCGGCAAACTTAGGATGCAGGATGCCGATGGATATACCAGCAGGGCCGAGGTTCTTCTGCGCGCCCGCATAGATGTACGCGTGCTTCGACACGTCGATCGGCTTGGATACAAAGTTGGACGACATGTCTGCGACGAGAGGCACGTCTCCGACGTCGGGCGTGTAGCTGAACTCGACGCCGTTCACGGTCTCGTTAGCGCAGTAGTGGATGTACGCGGCCTCCTTGTCAATCTTCCAGGTGGAAACCGCTGGGATAGAGGTGTACTTGGTCGCCTTGGTGTCACAGACGTTGTTCGGGACGCCGTACTTCTTGCACTCCTTGGACGCCTTGTCGCTCCACTGGCCGGTGACGACGTAGTCGGCCTTGGCCTTCGAGCCGAGCATGTTGAGGGGCACGGAGGAGAACTGCAGGGTCGCGCCGCCCTGCGCAAAGAACACCTTGTAGTCGCCCGGGATCCCGTAGATGTCCCTGAGATTCTTCTCGGCCTCGGCGGCGATGGCCATGTACTCCTTGGAGCGGTGCGACATCTCCATGACGCTCATCCCCGTGCCCTTGTAGTTCACGAGCTCCTTCTGCACCTCCTCGAGCACCTCCAGCGGCATCTGACTGGGGCCGGCAGAGAAGTTGTAGATGCGGCCCTCTGCCATCGCTGCGGGGCGGGCTTTAACCCCTGGGCAAGATGCTGACCGCGGTGCCGCCTCCGGGCCTGGCTCTCGAACCCTCGCTCGAGACAAGATGGCTTGAGCCAAGGTAGCTACGGACGTGCACGTAGAGCAGGAGGGGACGAACACCCGGGGAACAGGCCACCCCTTAGGACACCAGGAACCATGCGTGTTTCAATATCCTTCGTTGACCGTGCTTGCACACCCAGCGTGTGTCGACAGTAGTGGAAGATATGGATACAGGCGTCCTGCAGGATGCACGGCTTCGTGGTGGTGGAGGCGTATGCTGTCGCGCCTGTGTGCCACACCCACCAGGCGTGCTTCGCTATCAATTGAGTGGCGTGCTCACTGTTTGGGCTACACTGTCTTCTCGGTGCTCATGCTTATCGAACACCTTCGGGGCAGGGTGTCCAGAGGTCCGTTCCCCTGACGCTCTTGGCGTACCCAGCGCCCGTCATCGGCAGTGGGATATCTGGACACCTTCACTATGCGCTTTGTGGGTTTGTGGCGCACCACTCACCACGTTTCCTTCGTTGTCAGTGGGGTGGGCACCCCTGACACCACAGCGACGGTCCGTCTCAGGGATTCGGTTCGCTTGTCAGCTCGCTCCTCTTCTCCTCTCCACCTCTCCCAAGGCCTCAGGCCCCACCTCCTGCGCTGCCCCCCCACCCACGGCCCCCCCCCCCCTCCGCTCGCATGGGGGGGGCGAGTGGCCTCTTAAGACTCCTGCACTTTTGCGCTCCTACCTTCAGGTCGGGCATGTCCTCCTACAGGCGGATTTTGCGGCGAACCAAAGCAATCAAGAAAAACTCGAAAATCTCAACATGATCGACCCACGACCCCGGAAAGGAATATAGACATGTAAGGCACGGCAACGTTTCAAAGACACCTGATTGGGCGACGGGCAAACGCAATGCTGAGTATATCGATCTTGATGTACCGTGCCGAGGGCTGTGCTGTGCAGCGCCGTGCTGAATTGCGATGCGCCATGCCGCGATTGTGCTCTATAGCGTTGTGGATCAAGTCCTCCTTTGCATCCGAGTCCTGACCGAACTGATCTGGATCTTAAGCTCGAGCTGCCTCAGCACATGGTAGCTGCCCGAGAGCAAATTGACAGGGGAACATGCCCGGAGGACGCGCCGCGGAACGTCCCAAGGGACACGCCAGGCGACGTGCCAAGGGACGTGCCACGAAGACGCACCGCGGGACGTGCCGAGGGGACGCGCTACGGAACGTGCCAATGGACGTGCCACGGGACGTGCCAGGGGACGCGCCGCGCGACGTGCCAGGGGGACTCGCCACGGGACGCGCCACAGAACGTGCCAAGTTGCAATGCTGAGTGTATCGATCTTGATGTACCGTGCCGAGGGCTGTGCTGCGCTGCGCTGTGCTGAACTGCGATGTGCCATGCCGCGATTGTGCTCTATGGCGTTGTGGATCGAGTCCTCCTTTGCATCCGAGTCCTGACCGAACTGATCTGGATCTTAAGCTCGAGCTGCCTCAGCACATGGTAGCTGCCCGAGAGCTAATTGACAGGGGAACATGCCAGGAGGACGCGCCGCGGAACGTCCCAAGAGACGCGCCAGGCGACGTGCCAGGAGACGTGCCACGGGGACGCACCGCGGGACTTGCCGAGGGGATGCGCTACGGAACGTTAAAATGCATGGTCCTTGCTCGGGGCAACCATGTTAGATATCCCCCTGGATGGCCTGGACACCTAAAAACACATGGTGCCAGCTCGGGAAACCATGCTATATACACCCCTGAATAGCCTGGACTCGTTACAACACGTGGTCCTTGCTCAGAACAATCATGTTAGATACCCCCATGGGTGGCCTGGATACGTGAAAACACGTGGTTCAAGCTCGGGACAACCATGTTAGATATCCCCCTGGGTGGCCTGGACACGTAAAAACATATGATTCCAGCTCGGGCCCACCATGTTAGATACCCCCTGGGTGGCCTGCACGCGTAAAAACACGTGGTCCAGCCCACCCAGGGGGGATATCTAACAAGCGGTCGTCTGGAGCGCAGGAGGGTCCAGGAACGCCCAGAGGCGCCTGGAGGCCAAGAGGTAAACGAATCGATACCTAATACAAATAAACTCTCGGCGTTCCGTTCCGAGTCCCAGGAAGGATCCAGGAGGCCCATGTTAGATACCCCCCTGGGTGGCGTGGATATGTGAAAACACGCGGTTCCAGCTCGGGACCACCATGTCAGATACTCACCTGAGTGGCCTGCACACGTGAAAACACGTGGTTCCAGCGCTGGACCACCATGTTAGATAACCGCTGGGTGGCCTGGGCACGTGAAAACAGGTGGTTCCAGCTCGGGACCACCATGTTAGATACCTCATGGGTGGCTTGGACATGTAAAAGCACGCGGTTCCAGCTCAGGACCACCATGTTAGATACCCCCGGGTGGCGTGGACACGTGAAAACACGCGGTTACACGGGGCCACCATGTTAGATACACCCTCTGGGCGACCTGGGCACGTGACAACACGTGGTTCCAGCGCGGGACCACCATCTTAGACACTCCCTGAATGGCCTCGACAGGTGAAACACGTGGTTCCAGCTCGGGACCAACATGTTAGATACCCGCCTGGGTGGCCTGTACACTTGAAAACACGTGGTTCCAGCGCGGGACTACCATGTTAGATACCCACCTGTGTGGCCAGGACACGGGAAAACGTGGTACCAACTCGAGACCACCATGTTAGATACCCACCTGGGTGCCCTGGACACGTGAAGCGACGTAGTGCCAGCTCGGGCAGAACATGTTACATACCCCCCTGTGTGGCCAAGGAAATCCTGGAAAAACAAGCGAATTAGTCAAGCCATCCTCGAAATTCCTGCGCGCGGGACGCGGCACGTGCGAGACATCCTCGGAATTCCTGCGAGCGGGACGTGAAAACAAGCATTTCGCCTGAGACATCCTCTGAATTCTGGCCCCCCACGAGGCCCCCGCTCGAGACATCCCCTAACTCTGCAAAACCAGCGTTTCGCTCGAGACATCCTCAACAAATTCTGAAAAACAAGTGTTTCGCCTGAGACGTCCTCAAAAATAGTTCCGCTGGCCTCCTTTAAACTCATCATTTATCGCAAAATAATTCCGCCGGCCCCCTTCAAGTCAAAACCGGGGGTAACAATACTAAAAGAGAACCCTGGGCCTCTGCCCTTTCCGGGAAACATAATCAAAAAAATCGTCCCCAAACTATTATTTCACTATTGTTGGAAATTCCTCATGAAGAGGGACAGGTCCGGCTTGAACCTACCTCCGAGAGGCGGACAAGGGCCGCGGACCAGGCGTGCATGCCCTCCACCAGGACTAAGACCGCGACAATTTGTTGATTCCCAAGCGACCCAGCCGGCACGGCGGGAAGTGGCAATCAGACTGGCCCTGGTCCGGAAACAAAACAGCCGGGACTCCAGGCTCCAGCCCGCCCGTGCCAGCGGCGGAGGAGAGGGAGGGGAGGACAAGCCAGGACCGCACGCGCCAAAGACCAAGACCGCGACAGAAGCATCGTCGAGCGCAGCCGGGCCGATGGTGCCGCAGACAGCCCCGCTGCCTCGCCATCCGCCGCCTTCAGCTCCTGTGCCAGGGCGGCGCCAAGCGTGGAGGCTGCCTGGCGCCAGCGAGCCCCCGCCGCCGCCCCGACGACGAGCACAACCGCGACGACGACGACGATGACGACAACGACGGCGACGACGACGACGACGACGAGGACGAGGACGAGGACGAGGACGATGACGACGATCGTTCATTGGTAGCTCTGCTTGCTCACGAGCAGATCATCGCACTCCACTCTGCTTCCCTGGCCACCCCATCCCCCTCACCGCGGTCCCTGCGTGACGGGTCCGACCTGCCGCCACCATTTCATGCACTCCAACCCCCACCCAGTCAACTCCATTCCGACCCACATCCTGAAGAGACATGCCCTTACGTACTGTTCTCCTGGCGTCCCCCAAAGCCCAGCCGACTCACCAGGGCCTGCAGTGACTGCGCTGTGATTGTGGTTGTGGGCACCCCGTGTCAACCCCTCGCCCGAAGTCCGCCACCGTGCCGCAAGGCACGAGTTGGAGTGCCCTGTCCCTTGTCGTCCTCAATCCGGACCCCAAATTCTCAAAGATTCCAGGGCTCCTGGCGTGCCGCCCGCGGCTCCATGGCGCTTCCCGTATGACTTCTCCGGAGCCACGAACGCCCCAAAGCGGTCCAAGAGTGCCCCGAGAGGCCTGCGACCCACAACCCCAGCACGGTGGCGAGATGGGCCGAAGGCCAGTAGATCCCCCGCTCCCTATGCTTGCCACAAGCACGGCGTGCCAAACTCCATGGTCATTTGGAAAGGTTCCCAGTGGGCCTGCGGCCGATCGCACCTGCCATCCGGAAAGGCCCATAAATGCCCTGCTCATTCGTCTCCCCACCGCGTAAGGACCCACAAAGAAAGCCTCGAGACGGCTCAAGATAGCTAGCCCAAGAGGACCTCAAGACGGCCCAAGAGGCACCCAAGACGGCCCCAGAGCTCTGAGAGGCCTTCCTGGACAGCCTGAGAGTCCCAAAACCATTGATTTTCCTCCGGTGTTTCCAACCACCCAAGACGCTTCCAAGAGGCCTCCAAGATAATTCCAAGTTAGCCCAAGAGACTCCCAAGAGGGCCCCAAGCCGGCCCAAGAGAACCCAAAGATCGCCCAAGGGGCTCCCAAAGAGGGCCACAAGACGGCCCTGAAGCGCTCCAAGAGAGCATCAAGACCGCCCAGAGAGGCCTCTTGGCCTGTTGTGGGCGGTCGGAAAGCCAGAACCCCAGAATCCTTCAAAAATATGGAGTAGATCACTGGTGTTGGACTCATCGGACTCTCCTGGGGCCTCTGGGAGACCTCTAGGGCCGTCTTGGGGGCCTCTTGATCTGTCTTGAGACCTTCTTGGGAGCCTCATGGCCTCCAGGACTGCTTTCAAGGCAGCCAAGATGACGCAAAGATGGCCCAAAATGGCCCAAGACGGCCCAAGAGGCTCCCAAAACAGCCTCAAGACAGATCAAGAAGCCCGCAAGACGGCCCCAAGAGCTCTCCAAGAGGCCCCCCTGGGAGAGCCCGAAGGGGCTAAAACCATTGGTTTCCCTCAAATCTTTGAAATAGTTCGAGGTTCTCACCTGTTCGGGTTTCCGACCGCCCAAGACAGCCCAAGAGGCCCCCACGAGGCGTCAAAGATAGCTCCAAGATAGCTCCAAGACAATCCGGGAGGTCCTCAAGAGAGCCCGAAGTCGGTACGAGAAGAACCCAGAGATCGCCCAAGAGGCCCCCAAGAGAACCCCATGACGGCCGTGAACCGCTCCAAGAGGGCACCAACACGGCCCAGGAGCCCCCAAGGCGGCCTCCATAGGCGTCATACTGAGCTTGAGCCCCCTGAAACGGCCCAACGAGGCCCGAAAGAGGCCCCCAAGAGGCCCCCAAGAGGCCCCCAAGAAACGTTCAGGAAGCTCCCAGGAACCCCCTAATAAGCCCCAAGAAACCCAAGAAGCCGTGTCCTCCTCCTCCTCCTCCTCCTCCTCCTCCTCCTCCTCCTCCTCCTCCCTAACGCGCGAACCAAGACGAGGTCGGGATCACGACCCGCCTCAATGCAGACTACTCGTCGGGTTTGCGCTGTTCCTACACTCAGCCTCCTTCCTTCTGCGCTGCTGCACAGGCACAGTGGCGGGTTTTGCCGCAGCCAGCTGGATAAACTGCCAGGCTCATCGGCCATCCTACCCCGTAAGCACCCACAAACTTCCCAGGTCGTAAGCCTTCCCGCTCCGGACGGCCACAAGATGGTTTCCAAGGCGCCCCATAAGGACCCGAAAACTTCTCAGGTCATCGGTCTTCCCGCTCCAAGGCAACCAAGATGGCTGAACACGGCCTCCAACATACCTCCAATACGTCTAGGATGGCCCCAAGAGGGTCCTGGAATGGCCTCACAAGCGCCCCATAAGGAGCCGTAAACTTCCCAGGTCATCGGTCTTCCCGCTCCTAGACAGCCAAGGTGGCTGAAGACGGCCTCCAAGATGCCTCCAAGACGTCGAGGATGGCCCCAAGACGGCCCAAGATGGCCGCGAGATGTTTCCACAACAGCGCAAGATGCACTCAAGATGGACCAGAATGTTATAGACCAACACGGCCCGAGCGGCCCCTAAGAGACCTCCGAAGCAGCCTCCAGGAAAGCCTGAAGAGATCTCGCCTCATCTTATTGTTTTTTCTCCCGACGTGTTCCCCGAAGCGTTTCCACAACGGCCGGGGGGACACCTGATCCTACTTTGGCCGAGCTCTGGCCGCAACGTTCGGCCACACATGCCCTTCCAAATGGCGGTGATTCGCCGTAGAAGTTTTCGGTAACTCTTTCAGCGACTGCGCCGAAAGACTCACGTTTGTGAACACTCGATATGACCGACGTCTGCACCACAGAGAGCGTCGTCGCGGCCAAGAGCGGTACGAGACGCACGCCATGCGCGGGGCCCTTCATCTCTCGCAGCGGCACTAAACTTGGGCCGAAGCTTCCGGCGATGGCACATCAAGCTGACTCGTTCAAGGTGTGCAGCACCTACTTCTGCATGTCAACTGCTGGTTGGGGCTCCATGCATGTTCACCCGAAAACAGATGACCAGATATATAATTGATTTCAGCACCTCACGCGCAAGAGAGGGAACATCAATCGCACGGCAGCATGTGAATACGCAGTTGCGCATAAAACTCCTTCCTCATTGTAGGCATCTGCGTTCGAACCTTGGACAGCTCCAATGAGCATTATCGCTTGTGCGAACGGCAAACTGAAGAGAAGTTGAAAATAAGCTATATGATGCTGACCACAAGCCGAAACCTCAAATTTACAAATGGAACACGCTGCCACATGTTACAGATGCTCCGCGAAATCCCACCAGCCCTCTGGGCGTAGGTGGTTTGGGGAGTTTCCTCGGGGAGGGGGTCATCACTGCTCCCTAATATATACACCCCCTCCCGAAACGACTGGGAGCCAACCAGGGTCAACGCGGGGGGGCCCTCCCCCAACATCCCTTGTAAAAAACACAATACAAAACAATCCAAAACACATGCACAGCGAACCCGATGCGGCCTCCCCCTACCATCTCTGTCAAAAAGCAATGCACAATACACTTGGCGGCTGCGGCGGCTGCGGCGGGGGACGCGGCTGCGGCGGCTGCGGCGGTGGCGGCGGCGGCGGCGGCGGCGGGGGCGGCGGCGGCGGCGGCGGCGGTGGTGGCGGCGGCGGCGGCAGAGGTGGCGGCAGCGGCTGCGGCGGCAGCGGCTGCGGCGGCGGCGATTGGGAAGCGGGGGCGACGGCGGCGGCGGCGGCGGCAGAAGCGGCGGTGGGCGGCGCGGCGGCTGCGGTTGCGGACAGCGGCGGCGGGCGGCGCGGCGGCGGCGGCGACGGACAGCGGCGGCGGGCGGCGGCGGCGGCGGCGCGGCTGCGGCGGCGGGCGGCGGCGGCGGCGGCGGAGGCGGCGGCGGCGGAACTCGCCCCCAGTAGCTGCCCATCCAATGACGACTGCTGCATACGCTGCGGCTCGGGCCAGGCTCGGGTGTTCCGTATGCGTTGGGAGGGCGGGCGGGGTGAGCGAGACGGCTCGCGGGCGGGGAGGGGCGGGGAGGAGAAGAAGGAGTGAGGAGGAAAAGGAGATGGAGGAAGCTGAGGAAGAGAAGGAGGAGGAGAGGAAGGAGCAGGCGGAGGAGAAGGAGGGGGAGGAGGAAGAGCAGGACGACGAGCAGGAAGGGGAAAGGTGGAGAGGGAGAAGAGGAACGCTGATGACGACGAGATGCGGAAGATGCGGAGAAGGAGGAACAGTAAGGGCATGGGGAAAAGGAGGAGAAGGAGAGTAAAGGAAGGAAGAAGAGGAGAAGGAGAAGAAGGAAGAGGACGAGAAGCAGGAGTACGAATAGTTGTTTGAGTCCAGCTCTGGTAGCCGACCGATTCCAAACATGTGGGCGTTTGCAGCGAGCGCCCCTGATGATCTTCGTCAGATTGCTGTGCCGAACAACTCTAATCTCATCTGCAGCTCGAGCTACATCAAGAGAGGCATCGTCATCTCTGAAGAAATTGCTACCAGTTTTGTCGGCTCCAACTCTGGAAGCAGACCGAGTTCAGCACCTAGATACGTGAGACTAGGGCTTCTGGTGATGTTAACCCGAATGTGGAGCCAAACAGCTCTGAACTCATCTGCAGCTCGAGTTACAGTAGGAAAGTCGGCATAAACTCGTAGAGAAATCAGCAGAGTACGCAGAGTTGTTCGAACCCAGCTCTGGTAGCAGACCGAGTTCGGGCATCTGGATGCTCATCTACAGCTCGAGATCGGTCAAGAAACTGATCATGATCTCTAGAAAGTAGCAGTGTACGAATAGTGTTTCGGATCCAGCTCTGGGAGCAGACCGAGTTCGGGCACCTAGATAGACTAGCGTTTCTGATGATTGTCTGTCGCATGCTGTGCTGAACAGCTCTTTGGCTCATCCGCAGCTCGAGTTACATCTCGAAACGCATCGTCATGTCAGAGAAAAACAGGGGACACATAGTTTTTTCTGACCCAGTTCTGGTAGCAGACCGATTCGGACACCTCGATACTTGAAACTAGCGCTTCTGATGAATTGCTTTCGATTGCTGTGCCGAACAGCCTCATAGTTTATCTGCAGCTCGAGTTACCAAAAACAACTCATCATCCTCTCCGAAAAAATGAGCAGAGTACAAATATGTTTTCGGACTCAGCTCTGATAGCAGACCGAGTTCGGGCATCTAGATACTCGACACAAGCGCTTCGGATGATTTCCTTATGATTGCTGTGCCAAACAGCTCTGTAGCTCATCTGCAGCTCGGGTGACATCAAGAAACTCATCATCCTCTCCATACTAAATTAGCAGAGTACGAGGAGCTGTTCGAACCCAGCTCTGGTAGCAGACCGAGCTCGGGCGTCTAGATCAGACTAGCGCTCATGATGATTTCCTTCCGATTACTGTGCCGAACAGCTCTGCAACTCATCTGCAGCTCGAGATAAGTCCAGAAACCATCATCACCTCTGGAAAAAAAGCAGGGTACAAATAGTTTGTCAGACACAGCTCTGGTAGCACACCGAGTTCAGGCATCTAGATACTGTAGACTAGCGCGCCAAATGATTATCTTTCATTCCTGTGCCAAACAGCTCTGTAGCTCATCTGCAGCTCGAGTTACATCAAGAAGCTCATCATCATCTCTGAAACTATTCGCAGAGTGCGAATAGTTTTGCGAACCCAGCTCTGGTAGCAGACCGAGTTCGGACATCTAGATACGTAAGACTAACGCGCCTAATGACTCTGAATCGATTAGGTGTGCCTACCAGCTCTGTAGCTCTTCTAGAGCTTGAGTTAAGTTCAGAAAACCGACAGTCCCTGCCAAGATGACACTCAACAGCCGATCCCGCCGGAGTGCTTTTTGGCAGTAACAAGTACCCGATCGACCTGCGTTTGAGATGGCGAGCGGGAATCAGATAGAAGATTGGGGGGGAAATACTAGAGCTCTAACGAATTTTCAAATTTCGAAAAATTCAATTGTAATACGTCAAAAAACAACCGTCGATATGTTTTTGCCGACTAGCCCCCCAGCGCGCCGGAACTGGAGGCCGGCGGTAAACCGTCCACCTTGGTTCTTTTTTTACGGTTTACGGTCGGTCACGAGAATCCGAATCCGAATCGGCGGAACAGCGCAACTGGGCACCCACCACCCTAGATGGGTTGCAGCAGAGCGCACGCCACCGTAGCAGCAGCCCTCGTCAAAGCAGCGCAGGCGGCAAGTTCGCAGCAGGTCACCGTGCATCCAGGAGGCAAGCTCATCGCCTCCTCGGCCACATCGCGCCAATCGAAGCGTTGCAAGCTAGAAGAAGAAGACGAAGAAGAAGAGAAGAAGAAGAGGAGGAGGAGGAGGGGGAACCAACCTTAGTTACCGCCGGGAATTCGTAAAGCTCCCTTGCCATGAATGCGAGTGGCAAGCGCAAAAAAGCCCGCATGAGCTATCTGAGAGAGCCAGAGCTCCATGGCAGGCCTGCAGCTTCAGTTCAGTCCAGAACCTCATCGATGCAAGCCGACATGTGGCTCTTATTGTTCGGGTTGTTCGATCGTATCTGCCGACTTCACCTCGATGATGCGCTTCTGCTGTTCGAACAGCTTTGAGACATGTCATTGCTTTCATCTGAGAGAATCTGAGCTCCCTAGCTGGCCTCAACCTTCAGTTGTTATCGAAAGACAGTCCTCAACACCCCTATGCATATGAAGGTTTTCGACATTAACTCGCGACTCAGCCATCCAATAACACTCTAGAGCTCTCAGTGGGATGCAGCATATCATTTTGCATCGATTGGTGTGCTCAAGAGTTCTGTGGCTGGCCCACAGCTCAAGTAAAATTGAAAGAACCGACATCCTGTCAAAATGACTCCGAACATGAGGTCCCGCCCGGATGCTTCTTGATCATAGTAATGATGATCTGGACCTGAGATCAAGATGGCGAGCGGGAAAGATATCAAACTCCATGGGAAAAAATACTCGCGCTCTAAAGCATATTCAAATTTCGAGAACATAATGTTGAACCGACCTACAGTCACCAAAGACCTCGAGATTTAGCAATTCGTTTGCAGTGGCGCCGTCGCGGCTGCATCCGGCATGTCTCCAAGTGCAACTGTGCACGGAAGAGAACGGTTTCGCGGCAGACCAAGCAAAAGGTCCGCCGCGCGGTTCCGAGCCAACTAGCCCGCCGACGCTGTGGAATTACTCTCGAGCTTCGCCGCTTCGCTCATGGGAAAGCTCTACGAGTCATTCACGTCCCCGATGCACTGCCCCTGCGGCGCGCGCGCAAACCGCTTCCCTCGCAATCGAGATTTAGCAATTCGGTTGCAGTGGCGCCGTCGCGGCTGCATTCGGCATGTCTCCAAGTGCAACTGCACGGAAGAGAACGGTTTTGCGGCAGACCAAGCACAAGGTCCGCCGCGCGGTTCCGAGCCAACTACCCCGCCGACGCTGTGGAATTACTCTAAAGCTTCGCCACTTCGCCCATGGGGAAGCTCTACACATGATTCCACGTCCCTGATGCACAGCTGCGGCGCGCGCGCGAACCGTTTCCGGACTCGCCCTCGAGATTTAGCCATTTGTTTCCACTGGCACCGCCGCGGGCTGCATGCGTGTCTCAAAGTGCAACATTGCACGGAAGAAAACCAGTTCGCGGGAGACCAAGCAAAAGGTCAGCCACGCGGTTCCGAGCCAACTAGCCCGCCGACGCTGTGGAATTACTCTCGAGCTTCGCCGCTTCGCTCATGGGGAAGCTCTAGTCATTCCACGTCCCTGATGCACTACACCTGCGGCGCGCGCACAAACCGTTTCCGGACTCATCCTCGAGATTTAGCAATTCGTTTTCAATAGCGTCGTCGCGGCTGCATTCGCGTCTCAAAGTGCAACATTGCACGGAAGAGAACCAGTTCGCGGCAGATCAAGCAAAAGGTTTGCCGCGCGGTTCCGAGCCAACTAGCCCGCCGACGCTATAGAATTATTCGAGAGCTTCGCCGCCTCGATCATGGGGAAGCTCTACGAGTCATTCCACGTGGGAAGAACGGATAAGCGGCGGACCAAGGAAAAGGTCCTCCGCGCGTTTCCGAGTCTAGCCCGCCGACGCTGTGGAATTACTCTAGAGCTTCGCCGCTTCGCTCACGGAAAAGCTCTACGAGTCATTCCACG